ATTTCTACTCAATTCTCCATTATTATACGGATTACCATTTCCATTCTATCCTCTATTACTATACGGATCACCATTTCTACTGTATCCTCTATTATTATACGGATTATCATTACTACTCAATCCTCCATTATTATACGGATCACCATTTCTATTCTATCCTCTATTACTATACGGATCACCATTTCTACTCTATCCTCTATTATTATACGGATTATCATTTCTACTCAATCCTCTATTACTATACGGATCACCATTTCTACTCTATCCTCTATTATTATACGGATTATCATTTCTAATCAATCCCATATTACTATACGGATCACCATTTCTATTCTATCCTCTATTATTATACGGATCACCATTTCTACTCAATCCTCTATTACAATACGGATTATCATTTCTATTCTATCCTCTCTTACTATACGGATCCTCATTTCTACTCTATCCTCTATTACTTTACGGCTCACCATTTCTACTCAATCCTCTATTACTATACGGATTATCATTTCTATTCTATCCTCTATTACTATACGGATCTCTATTTCTACTCTATCCTCTATTACTTTACGGCTCACCATTTCTACTCTATCCTCTATTATTTTACGGATCACCATTTCTACTCTAACCTCTATTATTATAAGGATTACCATTTCTACTCTATTCTCTATTACTATACGGATCTCCATTTCTACTCTATTCTCTATTACTATACGGATCTCCATTTCTACTCTATCCTCTATTACTATACGGATCTCCATTTCTACTCTATCCTCTATTTTTATACGGATCACCATTTGTACTCTATCCTCTACTACTATACGGATCACTATTTCTACTCTATTAATCTGATATTCATTTCTAGTTTATCCTTTATTACTATACGGACTGCTATTTTCAACTATATTCCCGATACTATTTCTCTATTCATATCACTATACGTGTTACTTATCGAGCGAGCATTGTCGAGGAAATACTATTATTTTGCGTATTATTCGAAGTTGTCTGATACCTGCATTGTTCAACGGCGTTACTATAATTATATCTGCGATTTACAAATTCATTACTACAACGAGCATTACGAAAGTGATAACAAGTATTTGTTGATACCACAAAAGTGTCAAACGAATGTTCGTTGATATAAAAAAAAATAGGCCCGACCACTGCAACCTTAACATGTTCAAGTTTAGGGTCAACCGTTATCTTCCAATCCTATACCTAAAATGGCATTCTAAAGTAACTCTATATATCGGTTGACCTCTGGCCTTGTAAAGGGTGAACCTTACTGTCAGAAAAACAGATAGTTTTAACGTGTTTCGAAAAAGGAAAACATAGAAATATTAATATAGAAATTGTAATAATTACATTATTTTATTACTTTATTTAGGATCTTTCTCGTTGGAAACGAAGAAAGGGGATTACAGGAACGTCTACAGGACGTAGTAAAGATAAATGAGAAAAGAAAAGGACTAAACAGTAATTGTAAGAAAACAGAATGTACGGTTATCAGCAAGAGAATCAGGTCAAGATATATAATGGACAGCAACTCGAAAGGTGAAATCGGATAGCCGGGTTCGAACTCCAGTCGATTTTGTTACATTCCATTACGGCTAAATGCAATTATAAAAATCAACTTCTTCTTTAACCTGGATATGACGATAATCTACATCCGGTAGCATAGCATCTGATTGGTAGATTTTGAGGGGCGTGGAAACACCTCTTAATTGCTGTTGTTCCCAGGTCCACTCTGAGACGGGGTGGTAACCCCTGATAGGATTACAACTATAGGCAAATAGTAAGAATATCAGCAATATATTTCAATAGTAAAAACAAAATGGCAGAAAGAAATTATTGAAAAAGTAAGAGAAAAATTACTAGTAATACATTTAAAAAAAATGCCAAAGCTCCCAAGAAAATTAAATTTCTACATTAAATGTTCCATGAGGAGTTGATATGCCGTTAACCCTAGAACACTAACCATCAGTTAAAGTTACACCACTACTAACCATGGGTATATCATAACCGATTTTGAAAATATCAGAAAGAATATTAGATATAAATCTTTATTTGAAATATTTTACATGCAGGCACTTCAAACTTTGTACTTTGAATTAACATTAATAGGGACTGAATAACATATTATTTAGGTAAGAAAATCAGGTACTGAAAATTGTAATTAAAAATAGGAAAATTTGCGCTGGGTACTATTTACCCATGGCTAGTGTTCTTGGGTTAAACAAACCAAAGCAACCTGTCCTCCATCAGCTATAGGTTAAATAATAAGACTTGGATCTGGAAAGTCAGAATAATCTAATGAAAACGCAAACAAATAATAAATAATCTAAATGCAATGTCAGCAAATGTTACCAGAAACAAATCTGGCGACGCGATATCGAGTGGCGGCTGAGATTATTATGAGTTTATTTTTTCTTTTTCTCTCATATGCACATATGATCAGTCATACCCTCCATAACTTCCCTTACCATTCTGTCCCTTTACTATGATATATATATATATATATATATATATATATATATATATATATATATATATATATATATATATATATATATATATATTTTATGCAAACTTAGGTAATCCGTATGAGTAGACTCGAGGAGGATGATATCCAGAGAGCTCAATGTAAAATTCAGAGCAGATATGTTTGAATAAAATTTATTCAAACAAATATATATATATATATATATATATATATATATATATATATATGTGTGTGTGTGTGTGTGTGTGTGTGTGTGTGTGTGTGTGTGTGTGTGTGTGTGTGTGTGTGTGTTCAGTTATTAAGATATTCCTGGCAACAAAAGATATGTGTTCTTATAATCCATAAGTTTCGGCTTTATATAATCCACAAAAGAAATCAATCAATCAATCACTTAAACGATCAATCAAACACACTATCAAAAACGATAAACGAAAGAGACCTAAAAAGTATAACTATACGAGTGTCGACCGACAATGAAATAGGGATGCTGGAGCTTTGAAACATTGCACGCATTCATTTCGGCTCTTCTTTTTAATAACTGCCTTGTTTTCCTCCACGTAAACTGACATGTGTCTGTTGAAAAAGACTTCAAATGTAACTAGTAGTGACTTCTCTTGAAAATACACCATATTTGACCCTGTGGTGTTATTAGGTACCTGCACTTTAACCTCCTCTGACATTGATTAATAGAGGGGGCAGAGGATTATCAACTGTGAAAAAGTGATCAGTTGAATTTAGGACGGGAAGGGAGAGTTTTGAAGTTGACACAATATCTGGACGTCTTGCAACTATTCCCCCCTCCGGTGACGAAATCATTGATTATATTCACCACATGGTGATGGATGACATTATAAATCAAATGGCTAATGCTATTAGCTTATCCTGTGAAAGATTTTAGAATATTCTGCCTAATGAACTTGGTATAGCGAAGGTTTCTGCTCGAGAACAGTCACGTCTTCTGACACATGATCAAAAGCGCACATATTATGCGCATCACAGGAAAACCTCACAGTGGTTGAGGCAGATCCAGCTGGTTTCCTTGAGCGTATCCTAATCCAGGACCCGTGTTGAGTTCATCACTTTAATACAAAGGGATAATCCATTCATTAGAAACACACCTCATCACCTGCTTCAAAGAAGGATTAGGTCATTTCATCTGCATACGATGACCACAGATTTTTTTTTTTTTAGATGCAAAGAGTATTGCGTTTATATACTATTTTCAAGCGAGCAGCATCATCGGTTGAAAGTATTTCGTCAAGTTACTAAAGCAGCTACGAAAGCCTCTCATGACCAAACTCCCAGGAAAACGAGGGGACTTGTTTCAACAGCACAAGGCACAGACACACATAAGCCCCTGATTTCCATGATTGCTGTGCATGACTGTAACTTTGAACAGGCTGATCACGCCTCTATTCCCTTGATTTTACTATCATCTATTTACCAACATGAAAAAAAAAAAAATTGGCGGGGGACCTGTATGCCAGTGATGATGACGCCATATTTGCTGTTGACTTTGTTGGACGAACTGGTTGAAATTTTATCCATTTTAAAGAGAAATCACAACTAGTTACATTTGAATGTTCTTTGAACAGTCAGATATCAGTTTACATGGAAATAAACAATGCAACTATTAATTAGAAGAGTGGGAATTAAGGCATGGGAAATTTCACAACATCACGACTTCATATTCATCCTAAAAAAATATTGTCCACATTCCTATATGAATTAAAACTTTAACAATATTTCTTTTACATGCTAAGAATTGTATTGATTAGCCTTAACTCTAATACATACAATAAATTGTGGAATTTGTGCAGATAATGTATAATCCTGTATATCACTGCCATTATCTTCTCACTAAAAGGTATTTATTAACATCATTGTGATACAAGACATTCAATGGATAATGGCTTTGATTGGATGATAAGTAGTTAGTTCCAGATATCTGTGAAATGACAAAAAAGATTTGTACAGGAAATAATAGAAAAGAACGTATAAAGAGCACGTCACGATGAATCGACCAGAAGCTCTGAAATTGTTGTGAAGGAGGAGAGGGCAGACATTTTATTATGGAGGAAGAAAAAAATCGTGACTTTGTGTGTCGAGAATAGAAAAACCGAAGCGAGAGAAAGGCGGAAAGTTTAGAACCTTTGGTCTTTCTAGAACATATTCAGAAAAAGCACAAAAATTGAAGAAAATCAAATCATCTTTTCTAACAGGTTCATAATTGATTCTTTCGATTTGTAAATGGAAAATATCTTAATCACTAATAATTCTCTCGTCTGCTGAATCTTGGCCATTGTCGAATTATGTTACTACTCCGACAATCATTCACTTGTTAATTTATTTAAACGTATGAACAATGATATGTAAACTAATATAGACGGCGGAGCAAGAGTTTCTAGGAATAGATCTGGCGACGCGATCTCGAACATCGGCTGAGATTATTAAACGGCCGGAGTCACATGGGCGTCTTCTAAATTCCTCTTCTCTCACTATGCTGATCACCCCCATCCTCCGTGATCTCCAGGAACAGCGTCCATTGTCTTCTCACCGATGAGTCATCCCATCTGTGCTGGATTGAGCCTCGAGTTCAATAACTTCCAAAATTGAGCGAACTCATGCTTGAATTTACAGAGATGAAATACAATTGTTGCTAAAGAAAGATGTTTCACTGAGACAACTAATCCATCATGCTAATCAAAAGTTTATGATAACGAGAGGACACTGTTAAACAATATGTTCCAATATTACAGTGTGATTTAAAAAGTAACTCCCCATTTTAATATACTTATAATTTATTTATTAACTATAATTTTTACAAGAGATGACTGTGAGAGGAAAGCGTTTCTCATGAGGTTATATTTAAAATTAGATATGATCATCAGATTTCGCTACCAGCTTCTCAAGCCGCTCACTAATCGCGTCAATGGTTGGTCACTCATACATAAAACAGGGAGTTACTTTTCAATTTCCCTGTATATTTATACAGTGTGACCTCCAAAAAACGGGAACTTTTTAACAATCCAATAAAACCAAGAGTGATGAAAGAAAGATATTTTATTCATAGTAATTGAAACCTTAAAACATGCCATTTTTTTCTCTCATATGCACATATGATCAATCATACGGTCCATAACTTCCTTACCATTCTGTACCTTTACTGCGCATTACTATATATATATATATATATATGAAAAAATTCTCAGAGTTAGCCTGAAGAAAAAGACAATATTTATCAATGTAAATACAATAGGAAAACTGTAATACATGCCGACGCGTTTCGTCCGACGTTGACATTTTCAAGGCAAAACGAAATGAATTTATTAAACAAAGTAATAATAACAAAACAAAATGTCCTTAGCAGCTGAAATAAATAAATTTGTATAGTAAATTCATTTCGCTCCGCCTTAGAAAAGTCCACGTGTGACGAAACGCGTCGGCAACTATTATAGTTTTCCTATAGTTTTTATATATATATATATATATATATATATATATATATATATATATATATATATATTTGTGTGTATGTGTGTATTCAGTTGCATGCATATGAGTGTGTGACCCTGAGTTTCACTCTTTTGCGATCATCAGGCATTTTTATTTATAAAAAACTGGGTCTATATATGCTTGTTTGACTATGTTTGGTGGTCGGAATTTTCCTCTGTCCATGTTCGGGATAATCCTCTCATACATATATAAACATACGTTCAGGTGTATGCATTTTAGTTCACACAAACACACCCATATAAACAATTCGAGGCCAGGCGCAGATACACATGCATGCGCTTGGGCATACATACATATGCAATTGTAATTATATTTCGGTGTCGTAGGTGTATAAGCTTTGCTTGATCGTTGTTTTTGTCGCGCCATTGTAGTTCACTGTAGTATTGATTATGTTTAAATTAGCTTTGTACATGTTTGTAGGCAATTTCTTTATAGTGGGCATGTAGGTTTATCTCTGCAGTTGCATTGGGGGTCTTTGGTTACGCCATTACAAGTTATTATTTTTATTTTGTCTTTTTATTATCTGTGTTATGTTATTAGTGCAGCCAACACCATGAGAGTTGGTGCGGTCATCAGAGAGGGTAAAACTATTAGCATACCCAAAATTATTATTTTATAACGATTACTACCACTCTCGCAATTAATATCATTGTTACCACTTTATACACCTACCGGAAATAACTACTACTACCATTTTAACTATCAGTACTACAATCATTTAATAACAATCTCCACTACTGTTAGTATTGCTTTTTAATATTTTTTTTATCATTGCTATTATGATTATCGTCATCAATATTATTATCATCATCATCATCATCATTACCACAACTATTATCATAATTAAGATTGTCATTAATGCCCCCTCTTTTTTTTTCTTTTTTATTATACATTCATTTCTATCATCATTAAGGTTAAATTTACCTTTGACCCATCAAAAACTATTATTAACATATTAATAATAATTAATATCACAGTTATTATCACTATCAGTATAATCCCAATCGTCAATAATACTCAAGCAGTCAGCGTTAAAAATACAAACATCATCATCACCATGCCCACAAACAGAACCCAAAGACCTAGACCAATAGGTGTTTATGTGTGAGTGAGGAAGTGTAAGTTTTGACTGATGACTCAGGCAGTAGATCTGAAAAGCGTCAAGAACAGCTCTACCCACTCCTTGTTGAAAGGAACATCGCAACACATAAAAAGCCACGGTCCCGACAGCGAAATAGAATTGAAATGTATGTATGCCCGAACGCACGGATGGGTATCTGCGCCTGGCCTAGGATTGTTTATATGGGTGTTTTTTTGTGAACTAAAATGCATACACCTGTATGTATGTTCGTCTATGTGCGTGAAAGTGTCATCCCAAACAGGCACGGAGGGAAAAAAAACCCACCCTCCACTAAACATAGTCAAATAAATAGTCAAGCTAAATAGATCCAGTTTTTACAACAAAATACCAGTTTTTCTGATGA